AATGATAATTGATTCGTATATAAATATAAAAAAAAGCACAATTCGATTTTTATATTTAGTAGAACTTAAGATTTTAAGAATCTTTTAAAATAATAATTATAGACTGAGTAGTCAATTCTTATTTAAAACAGTCTTAAGCATTAAGATGCTAATATAATTGCTCCGTGATTGGTTTACGATATCTTAAGACTGTATTAAAGATGGTTTTGAATATAATATCCGACTGTGTAAATACCAGCCACAATCAAAGTTGCACCTTAAAACATTAAATTTTGAAAATTTTAAAAAAGAAATCAATGATAAATATCGATCAATTATTACTTTCAATGTCAATTTTTGACAATGAAATGTAAAATTAATCAATAATTATAAAAAGATTTGGGGATTTAATGAAACTTAATACATGAAAGAACCGACCTTGGTATGCAAATGCTGTGAAGTAATCCATGGTGCCTGAGAACGTGTATTAATTCGGGCGCCGTTCTAGTAAAGCCGATGATAGAAAAAGAAGCCAATAACGTATTCCAAAGACACAGTATTCCCCTGAGTTCGAATCTGGGCCTGCTGGCCATATAATGTTGCCCGCCGAATATTAGGATCATGTATAATCCGCAATAGTAAAAACCGTTCGTCCAATTCTTCATCATCCATTGTTTGGTCTCGTGATGACTGAATGTCTCCTCGAAATTGAAAATGTAAGAATAATTTGGGAGAGTTACCTCCATATAATCCACTTTATTCATCTTTATGTTTCAAGTAGATATCTCGGTAATGATAGCTTGGCAATTCTGTAACAAACACGGATAAACGATAAGATATCGGTTAGTCAAGTTGTTTATAAAATTACATTATAAAATCTCAAAGTCAATGGGAAAAAATGTAAACATACTTTCGTATGTATCGAGGATTGCATTCAAACAAAATAACTTAGGTAATGGAGTTTAAAATTCTGAGAAATCATTACGTGTATGTAATGTTTATACTTTTAAATTGTTTAAAATATTGCGAAATCTTGAAGGACGTCTCATTCGCATAAAAGTTAAACTGATATAAATTTTATATCAGTCCTACTTATTCACATACATTTTACAAGCCATTATTTAAGTTTTATATAAGCTTTATATAAGCTTTATATAAGTTTTATATAACTTACTCTTAGAGTAAGATCCAAAAAATTTAAGCAGTAAAACGTAAACAGAAAAATTCAACATTGGATTAGCTATTGCTTATATTATGATCTTTACTGAGATTGGCCAATTCGCTTACTGTTTAAGTTTCACTGCTTAAATTTGATGAGTCGATCATGACCTTTAAATATTAAAAAAATTTACGTCATAGTAGAAAATAATAATTAATTGATCGTTTTTACGGCACGTGAGCAAGCAGCAAAAAAATCAACACAATGGTTTGATTATTGCGGAGAGGTCTTTATTATAATTGATTAATTCGCTTACTGTTTATGTTTTACTGTTTAAGTTTTTTGTGTGTCACTAAATGATTTGAAGCTCAGGTAATGATTTATTAGAAAAAACTCAAGGAGCAATTTGATCTTATATTTAAGATTGCTGAAATATGATCTTGAAATCGCTATCTATATATATATATATAATATATATACATATATATATATATAAAATTACATAGCTGAACAAAATAAAAAGATCAGACTTAAAACTCAAATACAAAATAGAACTAATGGATAATATTTATAGTTTGATCTTTTAAAATCTGATCTTATGAAGAAAGATCTTATGCAGAAGTATTCCCTTCTAATTTTGAACTTAATGTGTGTTATTAAAAAAAAATGTGTTTCTTATTTTGATTCAGAACAAAAAACTTCAAAATCGAAAGAGGACATCTGTGTTTCCTAGTTAGATGATTTTGAGAGTCCATCTAACCAGTGAAACGATTCAGTTTCATTAAGATAATATTATCATCTTACTTAAAATGATATTATTGTCTTACATTTTATCTCCAGTATGATCTCGAGATTTTGCTGTGCAGTCATTTCATTGAAACATTTTTTGAAAATACAAATTTATGATAAATGCAAACAGATCGGACTATGATCGGTACATAGTCCGCTCTTAAATTTAAGTGTATATTAATCTCAATTAATAGAGTAAACTAATTATTATCTCGAAATTTCGAAATGTTATACGATTATCTCATTGGCTGAAAGGAATCTTATGACTCCTCACTCTTCAAACTGGCACAATCTTAAATACAAGACTGGAGATGGGCGATATTTATTATAGTCCAATTTTATATTCAAAATTGATCTTATATTCAATTGGATTATGGAATCGTACGAACCAATAAAACGATAGTACAATATTACGATTTTAAATATAAAGAACGGATATAAAGAACTATATGTATAAGTGATATTCACACGGTCTATTCTTATTTCAAGTTTTAACTAAATGTTTTAAAATGTTAATATGATTCATGACATTTACATAAGAAATCGATTATGAATACCGGTCTTTAGATTTTTTTTCACATTCAGTTAATGAAATAATCGTAATGATTATACATATATATGACTATATATATATATGTGTATATATACACTATTAATCATGTTTAGTAATATCCGCAATTATTAACTAGAGATCATAATATAAGATCAGTAATTAACTATTTACATCGTTTATATAGATATAAATCTATTGAAAACTTTGATAATAAATGTGAAATACGAGGATGAATGAAATATAAGCGAGAATTTTTTTTATCATTTATTAGACGAGAATAAAAATATAAAGAAAACAAATTATTTTTCTATATATTCCCTGCTACATTAATTGCCAGCGGATAGGCAATTTGGTGATTTCGTTTTCATAAAAAGTAGTAGATAATATCTGCAGTTAATTGCGCACGAATTTCTTTATACTGGCATTAGCCTCGAATCGTATTATTATCTTTCCAATTCTTCTTTCAATAATAACAACAACAAATGATAATCGTATGGATTTGTCTCAATGCAATTATCATTTGTTTGTTGTTTTTTTTAAGAATTCGGAGAATTCGCCAAACTGCCTATCCGCTGGCAAAAATATTAATGTAGCAGAGACTATGAAAAATAATTTTTTTTTATATTTTTATTCTCGTTCAATAAATAATAAAAAGAAATTCTCGTTCATATTTGATCGACTCTCGTAATTTCAATAGAATGTCCAATTAATAAAATGAAAAATAACATTACTCATCTAAATATTTATATTTATACGTATAGAAATTTAATTTCGATCTTATATTTAACATATATGTGCAGACGAAGAGTAATGCATCTCAATAATTCTGATTAATTGATCCCCACGCTATTACTTTTCCAAGATTCCATTTTCCGAAATTCCAACTGTCATGGGACAGCTCCTCAAACGATCAAAAATCTAATTTGTACGTATAAACGTAGTTAGTGTTTCTACATTACAAATTACATTTAAAACAATCTTAAATATTATATTTCTGGTCCTAAGAGTCTAAAATTCAGCCAATGGACTTGCCAATCCAAATTGAAATCTGTATTTTATTGGCTGAATTTTAAGATTTTTAGGATTAAGATCGAGATATAAGATCTGATTATGGTCGGTATTCATAGTCAGATCTTATATTCAAGACCGTCTTAAATATGGTCTTAAGAAGTTACGAACTAATCAGAAGACTGCATTAGCGTCTTAAGACATTACTTAAGACGATCTTGAAATAAGACTCGACTATAGCCGATATTCATAGTCAATTCTTTATATCAAGATCGTTTTAAGTAATGTACCGTCTTAAGACGCTAATGCAGTCCTCTCATTGGTTCGTGATTTCTTACTTACCATATTTAGGACGATCTTGAATATA